TTTTTTTTTGTTATAATATTGTTTTCAAAATTAATGTCTAATTAACTTTTAATCATTTTAATTATTATTCTATTTTTATCATATAATTTTTATATATTACTTATGATGATTCTTCGTATATTAGACGATGCAAGTTGGCATTTTTTTACATTTACTAACCAATGGGAAACTTGTGAAAACAGTCTAGCTATAAATTGCCGGGAAATATCTCCCTCCTTTCGGCAATGATCTTGGAAATCAAATGTAAACAATCGCTGTAAATTCGCTTGTTTTATTCGCGTTTTGAGCTATAAATTGTTAATTAAATATTGTTTCACAATGTATATACGAGTAAGCATGTTCTCAAAACTGTCTGGCAATAAATATTCTTGGGAAACTCCAACTGTCTATAGTAAGTCTATGGAAGATGTTATTGCTGTTATTGGCTTTAAAATTTTTGTTTCTACGCCTATTACGCTGTAATTAGTGATTTATATTATGACTGATTTAAGTTCAACGAATGAGAGGTTTCTTCAGAACCATCTGGTCTGAATTTTCGTGCGAAGAACCAATCAACGTGATTAAAGTCAGAATGTAAGCAAACCTTACAAATAGCTATCTTCTTCATTTTAGAGCCGTAATTCTGGTAATTTTACTCCTGAATGTTTCTGACGAAACAAACATATGTTTAAATAACGTCAATAAAAATGAAAAGTAGCGAAATTAGAGCTGAAAACGATGAAAATGGCGATTAACTAACTTCTATTTACATTCTGACATTGATTTAAGTGAAGGGCTAATTCTTATAGCAGTCAATTTCCCACAAGACAATTCTGAGAAGATGCTTACTCGATCAAACGAAATAAAAGTACTATATATTAGCTAATTAGGCCCTAAACATTATGAGAGCTTATTAGATATAAAGTGAAAAATTACAACTATGCGACAATCATATCGCATAGCTATCATTATTGTAAAATCAAATAATTTAAATTAATCTGATAAAAATACTTTAAGTTGTTATCTGCAATTATTATCCATTCATTTTCTGTCGCTAAACAACAAAACAAAACTAAAACGAGAGCGTGAACAAAATTTTAAGTAATTTTTAATGAAATCGCTGCGTTTAATCGCGTTACGACTTTGTTGTCGCGCAATACGCAACGCGCGACAGAAAGAAACAAAAATAAATTATAATAATACAGATTGTGAAAATTACAAAATTTTTGATAATTGCATTTTTATAACATTCAGGTATTGATAAGGATGTATTTTTTAAGTATTATTTTGTAAAAATTTTATATTATGAAGAAAACAAATTTCAGAATCGAGAGCATGTCGTAAATTGCCGAATTTTTGATGGTCCACCCATTATTTTTTCGATCGCTTCTTTTCATGCACAGAAAACATTTATAACTAAACTATAAGCAAATAATTTTGATGGATTCTATAATATTTTGAACGATGTCAATTTTTGAAAATAGGTGATCGAGTTAAGCCTAACACACGACTATATCAGATAAAAAATTAAAAATAAAATTTATGTCTAAAAATCATACGAAACTATCTATTAAATCATAAAGACAACATTCTTATGAGTAAAATGAAGTAAAATCTTTGTCAATTAGTCGATTTACAACTCAGAAAAGAAGTGTTGAAAATAGAGTCATAAAACAATTAACGTTTATTGACTTTCGCGGTAGGGGGTAACGCGGGGTCGGTTGACAAATTTTCTCGCAGTAGTGCAAAAGTTCTACTCACTTCGCTTGAAAGTGTCATATTTCTTCCCCACTTACAAACAAACCCGATGGCAATCGGTGAAACAGGAGATAAATTACAGCGAGTTGAAATTTGATATGTTTATTTTTTTGCGTTTTTCGTATCGAATTACATAAAAATAAATATTAATAAATTCATTTTGTCAATACGCAAGTAATTTATATTACTAGATAGTAAACAAAGCGCAAAATCCAACTAAGAAACTAGTTTCTTTACACGATAGATAAAATTGAATTATTTCATATTAAAAACACTGGGTCTGTAAGACCCACGCGACTCAAGTAAGGGCCCCATTCCTAGCGACTTACGCAGGGTTAAGGTACTTATAAAGAGGGCATTCTTGTACTGCACCAATGTGCAAGACCGTGACAAGGAAATGGATAGAATACAAAAAATAGTCGTTAAAAAATTATGGCAAAAAGAAATATTGTAATTCGTATAAAGATGTAAAAAATTAGGCAGGAAATTCTTTTGCTCTTTTTATATAAAATATTTCGTTGTTTGGAGCTGCTGCTCTAACTGTCAATTGTTTTTATTCATATATTAATAATAACTATTTTATTTTTTTCCAGCAGCAGAGAAAAATGAACCTTACGTGTGGAAAATTGCTGGTTTACAGGTAAATGCTTAATTGTGTACAAGTAAATAACATAATTTGTCAAGTTAATTTATGTTTTCTTTAAATTCCTGTTTTAAAATTCTAGAATAAACATTATATGGTTATGAATGAATTAGAAACAGAAATTGTTGGTGGACAGTTCTTTCATATTTTCAAAGCAATACAACAGAAAATCAGATTCAGGTAAAAATTCAGGTTATGCGTTTTATTATTAATATTGTAAATATTATTCGTAAGCGATAAGAATTAAAGAAATGGTTATAATTAAAAAGTATAATATCAAGAATTATTCGATGGATTTGTGTCTTACATAAGTGAGAGTAGGTTACACCTCACAGGGTATTCCATATTACTGCCCTAGATGAATTCTCGATCAGTATGGCTTTTTATATATAAAATTTTTTAAATTTCATTATTAAACTTTTTCCGTCCTAAGAGGGCCTCTTTTCAGCCGACCCATTTTGGGTTCAGCAAGGCCCACAATAGCGAGGCCGAGTGGTGAAGGACGAAGCTTAACATTTCTGGACAGACCATTACCCAAAAAATTCCTGGGGTTTTTTTGATCTTTTCGGTTTCTATTCCGGGTTTTCCAGAGCGGTTGGCTGCTGCCTTAACCATTCGGCCATCCGGCCTGATCAGTATGGTTTAGAGAATGTCTTTCCGACAACAAAAGTGAAAATATCAAAAAATTGAAAATATTATGCAATAGTTATTCTTCAGGTTTATATGGCACATAGCAGATTAAATTTTTAAAGTTCTTCCTAACGGTTATGTGCAGTTTCATTAAAAGTTTTCATTATTATAGAAATTTTAAGAAATATATCTTGAAATACATTAATATTTTTCTTTTCTTATTTTTCATATGTGTAGGTATTTATTTTAATAGATCAGTACATAATAATTAAGTAAATACAGGATTATTAATTAACTAGGTAAATATTAATTTTAAATTTTTAATTTTTGGGAACAAATTAGATATAAGATCAGAAATAATGGTAAAATAAATAAAACGTGATTTCATTCAACGATTAACTTATAGAAAAAAATTATTTAAAAGTTTACATTTATATTTTTTTATAATTAAATTTGATATTTTTTTTTATTTTTTAAATAAAAACTCAAGCAATAAGTTATGTAACTTTTCTGTTCAAGCTGTTATGAAATTTTATTTAATAAGTAACTTTTATATTATTAATCATAATAAATATATAAAGTTCTGTCTCACTATCTGATTTAAGCTTTTGTTATAAAAACTTTTTATATTTTTAATTATTATAAATTGACAAATGCTTAATTTTGAGGGCAGAGATAAAGTTTATATATATAGATGATAACGACAACTAAAGTTTTTATTATTTCTTTACCTCACTCGAGATATGACTCGTGACCACTGTCAACGCCTTAATTCTCTCCATCTTCCACCACCAAAATTTAATAGCAAGAATGCCCCTTATATACAAGCTAAAAAGAGATATTTCATATAGCGAGCGCTGCTCGATGTTTTAGATAAAAAATTTTAATCACGAGTGTGATAAAATTAATTTTCACGCATATTAATAGTTTCAGATTAAGTACTTGATTAAGTTTTATACTGTATTTTGTTCTTTGAAATTAAGCACAAAATTGTTATGTAAAACTTATTACATTAAAACATTTTTTTTGTGAAAAATGTTGTTATGTTTTATTTTTTACAAAATAAGAAGCATTTCAGATCACTTAGCCAACTTCTACCTCGTCTAATATGGTAAAACTGAAAGAATATCTAATGGTAACCACTGGCAAAACTATGTATTTGATAGCTGAGAAAGTTTTGCAAGTCACTGTTGTCTTTTTAAAAACACGTAATAAGGTAGTTCGATCAATTCTTATTTTTAAAAATCAATCCTTTGCAAAATATCATAATAATGATTCTGAAAAATTGAGCTTTCTCAGAAAAATATGAAGCATTAACACGAAGCTTCTAGTAATACAATAAGCATATTTTTTTAAAAGAATTGCCACAGATTACAAGTTTTAAAAAGGAAAATATTAATGATGTCAGTAGAAAACTTGCTATCAGTGATGCAAGAAGACTTGAATCAGTATCTGAAGAACAATGTCAAATAGCTTTATTATTTATCTACAGCTTCTGCCAACTACTAGTAGCAGTGATTCGATACACTTTGGGTTATACTTTTTCTGACCATAAAAATTATATGTTTCTTTTTCGAATTTATTTAATTTTTATTGTTGCAATGCATCTTATTTGATAAGATGCATTGCAATGTTATCAATGTAGTTATTCCGGATTGTGAAGATCCCGCAATTACACAAGTAATAAGGTGTTTAAAATACATATCAATCAATCTTATCAACCTTTGTAAATTTCGAAAATTTATAGTATTTCTATTTGGAATTATGTATTTGAAGATTGATAAAAATTTTTCGTTTGTTCGTATATATATAATTCTTTCATGTCTTCTGCACATTGTGTAATTCGTTACGTATATCGCTAATTCTCCCAACTTCATCAATAATTATAAAGCCATATTTTCCTACTTTCGTCTAACTTTTTTTAACTTCATAATAACACAAAAGAAGAGAAAATTGTTGGAAATATCGAACGAAAAGTTATTTTACAGAGAAGTACAAGCATTTCTAGATGTATTTTCTGGATTTCTTGTAGAAAAAAACAGAATAATTTATACAGTCAGCATATGTAATCAGAAATATCCCAAAGAGTAACATATCATTACTAGTGATATATTATCATCAGGAGGTTTAAGGTCGATATTGGAGGCAACTTCTTCCTTTTGCCAACATATTAGACATAAAACAAGACAAGTTTTTATTATCCAGCTATTAGGAGGGAGTCAATGCAAGACTCTAAATGTTATTCAGTAGATGCGGAAGTTTGCTATTGATACGTCAAGGACTGGCAATGGCACCTGGCATGTAGTTCTGTACACTGATAAAAGGGGGTTCTTTTTCGATACCAATGATCTTCATTTAACTTGCTTGATCTTACTGACTGAGATTTTTGTCAAACATTTGGCAATTCATCGAAAATATAAATAGTCGTAAGTGATGATGTTATTATCATCGAGAGGGCTGATCGATGTGATGATGTTATTATCACATCACATCGATCAGCCGTCTCGATTATGTAATGTTATCATCATCATCTACAAAAACTGTGCAGAGACATTCTTGACATCATCCCAATTAGTTTCAACGATGTTCCTATTGAATGGATTACAGAACATTCTAAAACTTCAGGGAATGAGAGGGCTGATCAGCTGGAAAGAGTGATCGCTGACTGTCTTAACACCTTCCTTGACTAATGCAATCTTCCAGTTTTTTTCTTCATACAGTCCACCCCCTATAACACGGTAGATACGTTCCGCTTTTTCTGAAATTCATGTTCTACGAGTTCTTAAATACATGAGCCAATCACAGCCAAGTACGTGTGCAGTTTACGGACTACGGCTATTTGAAAGGTTTTCTTCCATAAAATTAATCGATTCTAGACTAATTTGACTCAACATTTCCAAAAAACATAATTTTTTTAAAAATAATCCATATAAACTATTCTATAAACAAAAAATTGTAGGATTACTTACCGAGTCTGCACCGTTTGACGACGCCATTACTTAAGCTTGTTTTCATCGCAGAGCGGCGCATTGAACGGTGGGCGTATGTTTCTTGATACTGAACTATGGAGAAATCATTAATATAAATATAATTTTTATGGCGTTTAATAATAAGTGGTGTTTAGTACGTCTGCTGCTCGTTTAAACTCAACGGTTTGTGCAATATTTGCTAATTGTCTAGATTCGACCAATCCTGTCGCGACACGAGTCGGCGATGACGTTTTACCTTATTTTACGAGTTTCTTTTAGCTTCTTTATACGAATACGGTCGCAATTTTTTGTTGTTATATACGAATCCGCATTATAGGGAAATCTATTGTACTTGCGTTTTTCGTACAAAGACGATTAAAACTTAACACCAAAAATAGAACTGGATCACATTTGCATGAGCTTCTTTCCCAACTTTGAGCAAAATTTCCTCAGTTGGTGGTTTAGTCCAAATTATCAGCATACATAGTTACTTAAGGGATACGGGTAATGCAACATATACATGTATCGATTTCATACGTCAAGCAAACTAGTTGTAGTTACTTATGAACAGAGTTGAACATTACATTTATGTTTTCCCAATGCTTCGTAACATAACGCAGCTGGTAGAACTTCAATTGCAAGCGAATAATGTAGATTGGCCTTGAAGCCTGAGTATTTTCTTTTAAAACAAATGCAATTAATTCTTGCTAAAGATTTTATAAGCCCCAGGCCTATTTCGAAACGACTAGTATTTGGTTAGCAACTTCACACACAGCAAAGTTGTAATACATTCCAGGTGATTATTTTGTGTTTTTTGTCTTCCTCTTTACATGCGCTGTTCTATTTTTCAGAAGTTATGAATTGACATGAGTCATAACTCATGATTTGTAATTTGTTATAATTTGTTTGCCACAAGAACGTGATATTGTACTTAAATGTATGTATATGTCAGAATTTTACCATCTGTAAGCCAAAAGGCTACTCTATACTTTTTCTGTCTGTGCCTCCTTGTGTTTTGGAAACAAATAAAGATTATTGTTTATGTGTTTGAATACTAATTAAATTCAGAAATAGATTTCATACAATTTAGATATAAAACACAATTAATGAGATTACATTTATTCCTAATTAATTCTTAGAAAAGTGATAAATTTTCTCTACTAATTATTATAAGTTTATATTTTTTGTATATTTATTTAGTTATTCTATCGTAAAACCAGTAGATAAAACTTTTGGATATCAAAACGAAAATGGTTCCTGGAGTGGAATGGCAGGAAAAGTTGTAAACAAGGTGAATTTTTGTATATTTAGTACTTTCAAAAAAATGTTTTATAAAAGTTTTTAGAATTGAAGGTCCCACACAAATGTATTTATATGTATGTCTGATATGTCGGGTTTATCCCTTACCACCTATGCTCGCCTGTTCCTATTGTGGACATGATGCACCAAGAAAAAATTGAAAAGAGAGCCTTTCTTAGTGCCGAGTGCCAAACGTAGATTAGGATTAGAATGGCGTTTATAACAACAATAGAAATTTATTATTGCTTTTTATAACAACTTTTCAATATACAGCGTTTGCATGCTTGGGGAAATTTACAAATGTTAGTTTCACATAAAAACAATATATTACTTTTCAGATTTTTACTTGCATAATGACCATGTTTACTCAAACTGTTAATCTCTTTTATTTTCATCTTATAAATATCAAATTAATAGCTTATAATTTAAAATATATTTGAACGCTTGTTAATTAATAATTATATTTTTAAATTTTCAAACTTTAAATAACATCAACTGTTAACAAGAATAAAGCAGTGCAAAAAAATAAGAAGGCGCCATTTTAAATGTTTCAAATTATTTAGTACTGTTTAGTATAGTTTAATATAGGAATAAGAATTACTTTATAAGAGGAAAAAAAATAGATACAAAACATAAGCACTTTCAAATTAATTTAGTGATTGATGTTAATGAGAAAGTTGCAACGACAATTTAGTTTCATCACGATTATTGTTTATAACACAATATTTATTATGAATTTGTTTTTTATCATATCAGGAGGCAGACATGGCATATGTGGCTTTATACGTCAATCCGAATCGTTTTGCAGTATTGAATTTTACTGCTTTATTGTCTATTACACCGACCATTTTTATAATCAAAGCTCCAGAAAATGTTGCAAACTGGGATTCCATCATGAAACCTTTTACTGTAGAAGTAAGTTAAACGTTGACTTTACCATTAAATTCCGATTTCAAATAAAAAATTGCTAATATAAATAAACAACGCTACTACAGTAGAGCGTCGTTTATCCGAAGGTCGGTTATCCGAAACGTCGGTTATCCGAAGGAATTCCAGTCGACAAATTTAAATTTTCGCCAGTGCTGTGGCGCTGTAATCTTTGGCTATGTCTTTGGCTACTCAAATATTTTACGTTTTTGATACTAAATTAACTTCTGAAGTATAATTTATTATTGTTTTTATATTTTTCAATATATTTATTTCGTTTGTACAAAATAAAAAAATAATTTTTAACGATACAATAGTCTTCGTTAGGCTTAACATCGACGAAAATTCAACGCGAAGTGACACGCAACAGAGAAAAATTTCAACACGGGAGAAATTAATTTATTTTTTCGTACATAATTGGTTATCCGAAAAATAAGTTATCCGAACAACCCCAGTCCCAATTGATTCGGATAAACGACGCTCTACTGTATTGATATGCTTCTAGATTAATTGTAACGATATGTGTAACGTATTAATGTTAATGGCAATGCACTGTAAGAAATAATAGCTCAATTGTTACAAAGAGAGTGTTAATATATTTACAGGTATGGATTGCAATTGTATTTACTGTGTTTGTATTCGGACTGATATTACACAAAGTAATAGAAAGAGATTATATTTACGAGGAAGTCAAAATATATTGGCCTCGAAGGAAAGTGTTCTGGAATCTCTTTTGCACATTTATGTATCAAGGTAAAGTAAAATCATTTCAAATTTATTAATTCTATTGTTTTATTAACGAATTTTAATATTTAGGCACCGACATGAACCGTATAAACAAATTCCCGTCCAGGTTTCTTATAGTGATATGGTGGATGTCGATTGTCGTTCTAATATCTAGTTATGGTGGAATTCTAACATCTTTTATGACATACCCAACTACGGAACGTGTTCCAACAAATTTTGATGAATTAGCTTCTGCTGTTGACAAAGGTGAATATTCTTGTGGTACTTTAGGAGGAGAAAGTATATGGAATACAATTAAGGTATACGACATTTTCTATATTGGTCTATACAAAAGTCCTTTTTGGCCAATCGTTTTCAGAACCCAATGGTAAATCTGTTGCTGTTATACTCTCGCATTGCACAATTCTTGTGCAGTCATGCATTAATTTTCCTTGTTTATTGTGCCTTAACGTGCTTACCTATCATATTTGAGAGACAATTATGAAATCTAAGTTGAAATTTAGAAATACATTAAACGGAAATTTTCATGCACTGCAAATTTGTAATTGACGATGTTGTCTTTATATTACAATATCCCACCTTAAAAATGGGTTGAAAATTCAAAATTTTCCTTTGTCATTTGGTGCATGCCCAACATAGGCGGCTAATACATCGACAAAATGGCTACAATATTTTTTCTTTTGGTTTTGTATTAATTGACCAGGAACAGACTTTTGTAACAATTGTAACGATTCCGTTCGGTAAAATCTTAAAAACAAAAACTAGTTGAGTGCAATACGTTTTTGTTTTTAAGACTTAAGATCTCACTTTGTTTTACTACTTCAAGAATTCGAAAACAGAAAATGCTAGAATATTCAGCCATCACATCATGGAGAATAACAGATTTGTTCCTCTGTCTGAAGTAAAAACTCATCTTCTAAAAGAACGTTTCGCTTTCATCTACAGCGCTGTCATTATAAAGAATTTAATAGAAAAAGAAGAATTACACAAATATGTTATGTCGAAGGACGCATTTCTTACATTTACCACAAGTTATGCAACGAGACAAGGATTTGCATTCACCAAGAATATAAGTAACGTGTACGTTCCTTACAAATTATATATGAAAGAACATCCAAAACACAATTTAATTCTATTATTTTTTGCAGTGTAAGACGTTCATTCGAGGCTGGAATTGTTCAGAAAATTGATCTTGCTGAAGATTCAAATGTGCTGACTACTACGGAATTTCGTTCTCTTTCCACGGATGATTTTATTAGCCCTTTCTTTTTGTTGGTAGCAGGATATGTGTTATCTATGTTCTGTTTAATTCTAGAATTGTTTGGTAGTAAAATTGCAGTTCTGTTTAAACGTCGCAATACAACTTAAGATTTGCTGGTATATACCATAGAGCCTCGATTATTCGACTCAATTGGGGACTGGGGTTGGTCGGATAATTGAAAAGTCGAATAACCGAAAAGTATGAAAAAATCCATTATTAGTGTAGTATATTATTAAATCCCATGTAATTAGTATATTAGTATATCGCTATTAATCTACTTCGCGTTGAATTTTCATCGATGTTAAGCTTAACAAAAATTTTTTAAAATAATAATCGTCTCTATTGTATCGTTAAGAATTAGAAAATTAAGCCTCGTTTAAATACTGGCTCTCTTTCATCGTCGAATGAGTGTTGCCAGCTAAAACACGTAAAAATAATATTAAAGTAGCCAAGACATAGCCAAATATTGTAGCGCCACATCACTAGCGGACATTTGAAATTTGCAGACTAGGATGTTTCCGATTAACCGAGGTGTCGGTTAATCGGGGGTCGGATAATCGAGACTCTACTGTATAGACAAATAATGTCATAATTCAGCATTTTTCTCGCAAATATATAAATAATTTTGAATTTTTACTAGTTGCATGAATTTTATTTGCTAACATCTTTTTTGATTATATATAAATAAATATATATTAGTAAAATCAAGTTTAAAAGAGACGGTGTCTTGAAATAATAACATTTGTCATGAAGCGAAGTGTAATGTAAGAGGCTAAAGTAAGGACTAGATTTTGTGTTTAAAATTACAGTATATAAATAAATATCGATGACAATTTTACATTTTTGTAAAAATTAGTGTCAATATTACTCATCTATATCCATATCTATATCAATATCTATATCTATCTATATCTATCTATTTGTCTATATATATATATATAAATGGACGTGTGTGTCCCTATATTTCACTTTTCCGCCGCCAAAACTACACATCGCACATGAATGGTGTTTGTATGTGGTAGTAGCCTCAAGTCTCCATTCGTGCACCAGGGTGGTTGCGTCTCGTTAGCTATAAGGGTGCGGGAGATATGGGCTTGAAAGTAGTTGAAAGTGGTTCTTTATTTCGAATTTTATGTTCAAATTTGTTCGAATTTAATTCGAACACAAAATTCGAATATTGGTTCGATTATAGAACGATTGTAAACGTTTCAAAAACATTGAAAATAGTTAGTTTGACTGGACGTGAACAGGAGAGGTTCAGAAATAGAATCGGGACCAGGTCTCTAAATACTCTGGAAACGAGGTGCCTAATTCTTGCATTCTGTGAAAACGGGTAAGATTGGCTATAATGTAATTATCTTAATCTTCACTATCGTTACTTTTTAAAAACCCAGCGAAACGGGTTCTTGCAGCTAGATTCTAGATTACTTAGAAAAACAGTCTTTTATATATATAAAAAAACTATATTACATACAAATGTACGAACAAATAAAAACCCAGCGAAGCGGATCCTTGCAGCTAGTTATATATAAATATACACATGTGTCAAATGTTTTATTCTAAACCGTTAAAACTTTCATAGAATGTAAGTATTTCTCATTATATGAGCTACGTACGAACTTTTTATTATTAAATTTCCTATAATTAGAAGTCTATAGAGAGCGATTAAACTATCCAACAAAATGAATTTCGAAAAATAAGTAATTCAAGTATTGCACTCCTGCTTTGTTTGAAATACAAAAAAACTAATACAATAAACTGCGAATAGACTGTGCTGTAGCCATAAACTTTTTCTGTACAGCGTTAGTAACGTTCAATATGTCTCTTGACACAAATTTACCGTATTTTCAAATGGAAAACGTTGTTGACAAAATGGAGTACACATTATTAAACAATTGTAATACTATTGTAGTAATCTGTCTCGCAACAGTGCTGTGTATTGGACGTTTATCGTAACATTTTTCAAATAAAGCGAGCAATCGTTTAAATTACCTTTTGTTTTAATTTCATTTGATTCGGAGTTGTAGAGCTTTCTTCAACACCTTCTGAGTATAAGATTTTTAATTTTAACAACAATGTACTATAAAATTCACACATTTTCGTAAATTTTTCCAATAACAAATATGTAATAAAATAATTATTATTCTTTGTCAATAAGTAATAGCTGTCAGATGAAATATTTTAACTTTATTGTATAAGCAAACTAAAGAAATATTTATATTAATCATGTCATCTTATAGAGCAGATTAAATTATTTGTTAACTGTAACATGCACAAAATTTTATCTAGAATAAATAAAATAAATGACTCGTGATTTCTGTTTATTATTTAAACACTGTTACAAATTTACTGATTTTTGCATATATGACTATATATGATATATGCAAAATGATAATTTTTTTGTCGTGCTACTTGATCAAATAACTTATATTATTATTATATTATTAATATGTTAGACTGGTAACAACTGTTACAAAGAGAATTAAGGCATAGTTAAGCGAATTTTGACATTTTATTTTACAGCTGTTTAATATATTTGTTTCAATGCTATACAAATGTTAAATGAGATTCAAACTCTTTTTTACGTTAAATCATAATACAAGACATCGATGATCAGCCATTATTAAATTATTATTATTCATATTTCTTCAGAACCTGATTAAAACATAATTACGATAATTTAATATGTTTATTATTTAATACTAATAGTCTCAGCATTTGAAAAACACAAAATAATATTATAATTACGATATATTTGCTTATTTCATATTTTCCGGAAAGTATTGAAAATTTTCGAGAAGCTCGCAGTTCTAAGCATTCGTGACAATTTTCCGAGAAATATTAGCAAAAATTCTTTCACATAATATTTAATATATGAAAAATAATTATCATAATACTTTACTTTCTAAATTTATCATTCGGTTTATGGGGGAGCTTTAACTGTAACATCGGTATAGATTTTACAAAGTTATATCCAGAAGATTCACCTGTAACGAAAAGTATACGATTCTTATAAGAGAGTTTTAGTCGATATTCATACGCTTGTCAAATCGTTATAAAGAAAACACTGAACTACTCAGATTTAAGTGTCCAATAATTAATAGATGATCTATTTGAAAGTTTAAGTCTTTCATACATTGCAGAATCCGATTCACTACTTCATGGTTAAAATACCACAAAGAATTCCAAAATCATCCAACAGCCAAGTATTCATTAGGAGGTTACAATATGTCCATAAACAGGATTTTCTAGATGGACTCACAATGTATTTCTTAGTTTTAAAGCATCAGAACAATTCTCCAATGATATCGTTTTTAATGATAATAGGTCTGACATTTTGTGTAGCCGATTCCATCTCTTAGTAAATGATTTGTTAAGTTCAACAGCGGAAATTGAAATGTTAAGTCATTTATGGAAAGTACGGGGAACAATTTGACTTTCCTGTTCTCATTCATATGATCATGTCTTCTATAGTCGAGCAAGGAATTATAATTGAACGCACAATTACTGATCTATTTTGGATTACATCACTTTTGATAACATTACTGTTTTTGCTATTTATACCAAGCATTATATCCGGGATTATTGTTGCAAATTTCGGTAGTCTCTACTACATTTTGGGTTGCGTGTTTCGAAGTTATGCTATACTCATAACTTTTTAAACCACTTTTTGTGCACTTTTTTTAAAAAAAGTTTTTATTAAAAATAAAAAATACTTAAAACTGAAAAAAGCAAAAGAAATGCGTTAATTTTGGTTAAAAAGCTTCATCATTTATTTTCCTTTGTCTCGCCTTTCTGTGAAATTTAACACTGATGAGTCATTGTTTACACATCTGGATGACCTTGAATACAGCTGGAGTTGGATTTCCCGGGACATTCTCATAGACGTCTCGGGAGGACAAGGGTTTAAAGTAGGGTGACTACCAACTAGGCCTATATTTTTAAATATTCTAAAAAAGTTATAATTTTATTGCGATTTCTGACCTGACCCTCTTAATTAATTAAACATATATATAATAGAAGCTATTTTGAAAAAAATTTTGAAAAAATTTGCAGACCTAGAAAACATCTTAAAAATCAAAAAAAAAATTTTTTGGGGACCCAAACGCCAAGTTTTTTGTAACGCTATGGACCTTGCTCGAGACAGACTCAAGCGTGGATAGGAAGGGGTTTTTGTTATTAATAATTTCTTCCTTATGTAAACAGTCTTATAAATTTTTAATTACAGGCAACGAATTCAGTTTAATTTATCAAAAATTTTGTGCACTATTTCTAGATAAATGTTCTATATGACACTATGTTTTTTGAAAGGAATCGAGAAATCGATCTAATAATAGTGAAATGTTACAATTTTTATAAATAAAAATATTACTATACAGAAAAAATCCAGGAACGATTTGCTTATGTTTCCAGGAAACATTTCGTAGCTCCATCTGTTATAATACTGTATTTAAAAAATTTATATTTTTAACTATTATAAAACAGGAAAAATTAGTTTTAAGGGTAGGAATAAGTTATATAAAATCGTAAATGGTAAAATAGAGTAAAGTTGTCATTAAGTCCGAACATACTGGAAAGATACACCACCCATTTGATCTTTTTACACCCTCGATTTTTACCAAAATCTAAGAACCTCAATTTCCTAACAAACAAACCTTCCCGTAAAATTTCAGAAATTTTCACGAAAAGCACCAGTTATTAAGCTTCGAATGGGGTGAACAAAATTCACGTACATAAAACACACACAAAATAACATCTGTACATACAGAATTTAATAAGTTACATCTGAATTGTTTTGAATTCCTGGATGTTTAAAGTTTTTAAGGTATAAAAAATGTAAAAACTTGAAGAAGGGTTATTTTTAACCGTCTGCCATACTATTCCTCTGTTATAACAGCGTACAAATAGACGATATAAAATCTATAAAACAATTCAAAAGGTATATAATAGTAAATATTCTTCAATATAATTTCCAGCATTTGTTTAGTAAAAACGAAATTCATTGACTCATTAGTTTATTCTATTAGTTATCTACTTTACTTTAGAATAAATAATAACAAATTCAATAAAGACATTTAATTATCTTTTCGTTGTTGAAATAAAATTACCGTTATACAGTCGACCCCCTATAACACTGTAGATACATTCCTCTTTTTATGAATCCAGCTTCTAGGAGTCTAGCCAATCACAGCCTGGCACATATGCAGTTTACGAACTATGGCTGTTTGAAAGGTTTTCTTCCATAAAATTAATCGATTCTAGACTAATTTGACTCGTATAAGTTTTTGGGAATAATCCATATAAAATATGCTATAAACAAAAAATTGTCGGATTATTTAACGAGTGTGCACCGTTCGACGACACCATTGCTTATGCTTGTTTTCGTCGCGGAGCAACGCATCGAACAGCGGGCACATGTTTCTTGGTAAGTTATTTTTCTGCGAAACAATTCGCTGAACTTTGGAGACATCATTAATATAATATAATTTTTATGACCGTTAAATAATACATGGTTTTTAGTAAATCCGCTGCTCGTTTAAACTCAACGGTTTGTGCAATATCCGCTATTGGTCTAGATTCGACCAATCCTGTCGCAACACAAGTCTGCGATGACGTTTTATCGTATTTTACGAGTTTCTTTTAGTGTCTTTACAGAGTCGGTAGATTAACTGGTCTTTCGACTTTCTTTCTTCGCTCGTTGCTAAAATCAACTAGAGACAAATGTTACCACCAGGGGCACTGCAATCACAGCAAGAGCGCTAGATCGAATCGCTGTGAGGTCGAATGTTTTCTTTTTATTTAAAGATATATAACCTTCGAGTTAGATTTTATAATTTTTTATACGCATTTTATTATAAGAATGAAAAAGCTTTTATTTAAACCGAAAACCAGGTTTATGAATAAATAAATGACACTTAATAAAACATTAAACACCTTCCATCGCTGAGAAATGTTTATTTAATAAAATACGTTTGAACTCATTTACACCTGAGGATGGTATGGTTTATTCCACGAGGCTGAAAATGTTAGTATTTTATTAAATAAACATTTCTCAGCGATGGAAGGTGTTTAATGTTGTATTAAGTGTTTTAAAAACGCTGAGGTTGATATTTAGTTAAATAAATGACAAGGAACAAAACTGACACAATAGTACTATTATTATTAAATTATGCTATTATGTGAATTTATTATACGTTAAAAATTTATTGTACATACAAACATATTATATTATACATATTAATAATAATAATAATTATTATTATTATTTGCATTATTATAATTTACTTTAAGTGAAACGTTTTTCTATGGTTTTTACTTTCAACTGAGGAGGAAATAAATGATTGATTAATCGTTCGCGTGAAAAAATGCAATCGACAAGTAACAAAAAAGTGCAAAAATCTGGAAGTCAATTAAGACTTGTGACCAGCATTGTCACATTCTATCATCAATGTAACATTGATTTAATATAATATCCATTAGTGAAAAATAAACATCTATGTTTGGGTTTGTTAATTTTTCACATACTTTGCTTTCTGCCCAGTACATCAAGTGGCAAAGCTTATAGCTTGGATATAACAAATTTCCTCGAGATTTGATGAATGTAAATGTCTTCTCTGGTGCGGCATCCTCAGGTTTTGCTGTTAATATATTTTTGCATTCATCACAACCGAGTGATGACAGTAGACGATAAGCAATGTAACCTCCTAAATAATGTAGGATAAACTTAAATGTTTCTGGTGTACAATAAACATGATCTAATAATTCACTATCACTAGGATCTCCATAGTATAGACTTGGATTACAAAGCAAATTTTCTAAATGTTCTTCCAATTGTTTTTGAACTTCTTTAAATTGTTTTTTATGACTATGAAGAAGATTTTTTAAAGTAATAAAGATAGATTTAGGATTAGTTTGAACTGATGCTCGTTTGGGAAGACGTACCAAACTGTACACAGTCATCAGTCTGTACAGGTGTAAGAACTGTACTGTTGTGGGATGAGAATTGCTTCCACTTCCTTGTCTTATCATTCCAAAGAAACGCATATTGAAAAGAAAACATAAGTTAAGGTTTAATACAAGATTATATAATCATTACACTAAGTCAATTTTACCTCTAATGGGTCCTGATTAAAATGAGCTGTCAGGATATAATATGAGTTTGGAATCAATTGTTTGACGAGTGCTAAGATACTAGTCAGCGTCAAGCGTAGATTTTCTGCTGTCTGGTGGCTCAAAAATCCCTTTTGATCAGTGCTTCTAATTTGTAATCTGAATGCGTCCGATCTATTTAACCATTCTCGAGATTCTTCAATAACCTATTTTAAAAAAGTTGTTAATTAAAACATTTATAGTTTTTGCTAGTGAATCATTACTATTACCTTGGGATCATTTGAATCATGTCTGATTCCTTCCTGTGGAAATGTACGATTTAAAGCATTAAAAAGAGCATTGATGTGACGTATGAAACTTATTGTAACATCTGCATTCTTTAGGATAGCAACCTCACGCTGTTTATAAAACAGCATAGCATCAGCAAAAGTATTACTAAATATCTATAAAAAAATGAGATAAATAAAAGTATTCTTCATAATTTGAAGTTTAGACTATGTACAAAAACTTGATGTTTTTTAACCTTGTGAGATTTTTTACCAATTTTTACCTGTGTATAAGAAAAGTTCTTCAAAGCATTTTTAAGACTGTTACTTGTGTGGTAGTGTATAAGGGATAAAGATGGACTCAAAAGTTATTTTTGACTTTTTGTACATAGTTTAAACTTCAAATTATTAAGAAAATACATCCTGAGTTATCACAAAATAAGTATTTTTATCAAATCAGATTATATAAGTAAAAAAAGTGTTATTTGAGCTGCCAGCAATACACTCATTCTCTGGAAGTTATTGGGATTAACATGTATTTCTGTTACTTTGGGACATGCCTTTAATCCCTTTGGTAATATGGACTCTTCATCAACAACTGCTTTAAAATGCTGCAATTTTACCAATTCACTAGGCCATGATCACCTGCTGTAAATTCACTCTGTGGCAATTCAGAATTGTCACCACAATCAACAAGTCCAATCATTTCACCAGTAGCTTTTGAAAGTTCTATATGTTTTTGAAGTGTGATTTCATCAAAAATTAAAACTCCCTGGCGTTCTGTTTGTGGAATTGTCTCCAATTTTGTCTTTAAAATAACAAAAAGATCTTCATCAAATCCAAATTTGGCATTAATGCCTCTGATATATTGATGCAGTGTAGACTGACAGGGTAAAGGCAAGTAATCATTATTTCTCAAAAATTCATAGAGAGATGGTGACCTAATTTTTAAAAGTAAACAGTCAAGTAACCAATTAATGTCATATCTCATACCCTTTTTGCTTTTTATATGGCATGCTTTCAGCATGTGCTCTATTATAAGTTTCTGTCTTGGTGGTAAGGAATCAAGTTTATCAGCTGACAACTGTTTCATTTTAAGTTCAGTATTTTCTTGATGAAGCTTGAGATTTTCTGTTTGAAGGGTTTTCAGTTTCTTCCTATAGATCATCTTTTGCTTTCTGCACCGATATAAATCCTCTTTGACTTTTAACAATTCAGACTGCAAAGCAGAGATTTTATTGACATATAACAGCTCAGGATGCTGTGTAGTTGCTGCTTCAGATGTGGAGGGTTCTTCTACTTCCTTTTCTACAGTTGTTACTTGGGAGTGTGTATCATGCAAATCTAATGATTGATAAAAAAAAATATCAGACAATTAATCTTAAAGTATTTATAAGGAAAGATGGGCCACAGAGAGATAACCCTCAGTGAATCACAGTGGATCTCACAAACCCAGCTCAATCTTTACTTAATTTTTAAATATAAAATGTTCCTTAAATATAGATAAAATAGATAGATAGATAAAATTTAATTTTATATTAAAACACAGGGTCCGAGAGACGCACTGCAACTCAGGCAAGGGCAAAAAATTACATGACTCACTGAGGATTAAGATTACATAAAAACCATAAATAGTTACCTTTGGTATTGTCTTTTTGTGATCCCTTCCTAGATGGTTCTTCATTTCTTGTGAGACATCGCGTTGATCGTTTTTGAGGTACAGACCTACTAATGTACTTAGGACAATTAGGGAAGTTTGATGGATATGCATCCAACATTATGCCCAGTGATCTAGTGGAATTTTTACTTTCTCTCCATTTATAACAAGGGAAAAAGTTTTTAAAATAAATCTACTCGCAAAATGTACGTCACAAACGTAACATTTATTTGTTAGCATCTTGTATCGTCGAATGCATCGCATCCACTCCATAATCTTATCGCTGGAAGCAGGGAAAAAATGTCTCTTCTCGTTCGATGACTTATATCCTGCCTTGCATCCTGGCACAAAGCACGTTGGCATTTTTATGTAGCTAAAAAATCAATTATTATAGGTCAAAATCACTGACTTCAGTACAGTAGATCATCCTATAAGACGGGTTTCTATAATTACGATTCCTATAAGACGGCGAAAAAATTGTGGCCGTATCTGTAAACAACGGTAAAATAAACTCATATAATTACGTAAAACGTCATTGGGCAGTCGAACTACTTTCCGCGGTTCAGCGCCACGCTACCAACAATTTAGGTGGGTAAATTGAGTTTAGTATCGTCTGTACATATATTTATATATAAATTATATATAAATTAGGTACTGTATATATAATTATATATTAACTTAATTTATTGTAACATTATTATAATTATATATATACTTTCCGCCGTCTAGCGCCACGCTACGGAGAGTTTAGGCGAGCTATCGTCTGTACAGTATGTAAATTAGGTACCGTAAGTCTAATACTGTACTGAAATTTTATACATTTCTTGTGAAAGAAACATTTCTTATTTAACGGCGATTAATGATGTCTGGAGACATCATAAATCGCCGTTTTCGCAGAAAAATAACATCAGAAATCGCGGCCGCGGTTTGCTGCGCTGTTCCGCGAAGAAATCAAGCTTCAGCAACGGCAATATCGAATGTTGCACACTCGGTAAGTAATCCTACAATTTTTTGTTTATAGCGTAGTTTATACGGATTATTTCCAAAAAAATAATATATACATATTTTGGAAATGTTTTGTCGGATTAGTCTAGAATCGATTAATTTTATGGAAGAAAACCTTTCAAACAGCCGTAGTCCGTAAACTTCACATGTGTCGGGCTGTGATTGGCTGTGATTTCTACAAAATTGATTCATAAAGAACGGAACGTATCTACCGTTTTATAGGGGGATCGACTGTATATACGTAACAAGACCAACGCTCTACTAACAGTGGCGCCGACCAGCGGCAAATATTGTCTCTAGCTAAGTTTGAACTATTAGTCGAAAGACCAGTTAATCTACCGACTCTAGTCTTTATACGAATACGATCGCAATTTCTTCGCAGTTTTATACGAATCCGTATTATATAAACCCATTTTATACGGGTTTTACTGTATATAAACATAACTTTAATTATTGTTATTATCATTTTATTATTTTACAATAATTTTATATCAGTTGTTGATTGATTTGCAAATGTATTTTTCAAATGCTAACATCAGAAACAATTACAACAAGAGTTTGATAGTATTATTTTAATTCGATTTTAAATTAGTTTATTAGTTTATTAATACTAAATCATTACAGGTCGTAGAAAGTCAGTAAATTAATGATTTGAAGAAATGATTTATTTTGTGTGGTAATTAAATATATCTTAAACTAATGATAAATTACTATTTTCATACTTTTATTTTGTACAAACAAAACTTACAAAAGTTAATGTAGATATACTTTATGAAGTTCCTATAAATATATTTAAAAATGCGTATCGAATTATAAATAATAATAATAATTTTACAAATAATAAGAGAAAATATTATATTAGATGTCGTTGAAAAATAACTTATATTTATTATTTTTTTGTTCCATTGTATTGTGAAATACACAAGGAAAGTTTTATTACGATTTTTCTAGTCTTTAAAATTTTTTTAAATGCGAAAAATTTCGCTATAAACACATATAGTTAGAAACCTTATTAAAATTTACAATTCGTATTTAATTTATTATTAAATGTAAATAAAAAATCATACTAAGCTTACTCTTTTTCTATAGAACTATGAAATTTACGTATTTGTTTGTAGTAAGAAGACGTTTAAAAAGTTTCAAAATTTTACGACTATTTCAAAGTGTTTTTTAAATATAATGTGAACTCAATTTATCTACACTGATAGATAAATGCTGTTAAAATAATAAAGTATTTTTCTTCAAGATAAGTGACAATATGTATAGGAACATTTACAAAAGCAGCTGGTCAATACAACTGCTACAGTATAAAGGCCGTATGCAACTATAGTAGAGCATCAATTATCCGACTCAATTGAAGACTCAGGTTGGTCGGATAACTGAAAAGATCGGATAACCGAAAAGAAGGGAAAAGATACATTATTAGTAAAGTAAATTAGGATATTAGTATATCCCATGTAATTAGTTTATTAGTGTATCGCTACTCACCAACTTCGCGTTAAATTTTCATTGATGTCTAGCCTTAAAATTTTTTTAAAAAAATAATAATCTTCGTTATTGTATCGTTAAAAATTATTTTTAAATTGTTTTATTGCTCAAGAAACAAATAACCACTCATAATTAGGAAATTAAATCTCGTTTAAATACTGCCTTCCCTTCAATAATCGAGCCGTTGATGCCAGCTAAAACACGCAAAAATTTAACAAAAATAATATTAAAGTAGCCAAGACATAGCCAAATATTGTAATGCAACATCACTAGCGGTCATTTGAAATTTGCCGATTAGAACGGTCGGTTAACTGATGTGACGGTTAATCGGGGTCGGATAATCGATGCTCTACTGTATTATCAAAGAAGTTTCTATCAATACATATATCGCAGCATTCAAAGGCATGTTTAGTATAGTATCCGAAATCTTAATATTAGTTTCATTTAACATCAACTTAATGTGCGATTTATTTCTTTCATATAAAGATGGGTATCCAAACAGTTTGTGTAGTTTAACATTTTCCTTACTTTCATATGCTCCCTCCTCCATACTTTCTTCGGTGTAAATTTTGAGGAATTTCTTCCATGTTCTTTATTATGTAAGTTACAGTCAAATTCGTATCTGTTGCTATGTGGTAAATTGTAACCCAAACATTAATTTTTTTTATATTTATAACTATTTTCTTGCGTTTTAAGTAGTGACCTATGTGTGGAATTGCTAAACATTTATTATGGATTGTTTTTGCCTGTTTACTAAAATTTACTGATTGTCCCCAGATGAATTATCGTTTAACAAACTGCTGAAATTGTACTGCTCATCCACTTTTCTCATAGGAATATTTTATCATCTAAGTGGTTTTCATAATTACAGTACAAGTCGTGTTTTTCATCACAAATATATTCATCACCCCTAGTTAGAAATAAAAATTCGCAGATCACTGTGGATGAAACTGCTTGTTAAGTGTTAAAAGAAACGTTTTTTTGAATATATTAAATGAATTACATTCTCATTCGAGTTATTTCTAACAAAGAAAGAGATTCTGTAATCATCTATAAAACATTNTTAGCTATCGTCTGTACAGTATGTAAATTAGGTACCGTAAGTCTAATACAGTACTGTAATTTTATACATTTCTTGTGAAAGAAACATTTCTTATTTAACGGCGATTAATGATGTCTGGAGACATCATAAATCGCCGTTTTCGCAGAAAAATAACATCAGAAATCGCGGCCGCGGTTTGCTGTGCTGTTCCGCGAAGAAATCAAGCTTCAGCAACGGCAATATCGAATGTTTCACACTCGGTAAGTAATCCTACAATTTTTTGTTTATGGCGTAGTTTATACGGATTATTTCCAAAAAAATAATATATACATATTTTGGAAATGTTTTGTCGGATTAGTCTAGAATCGATTAATTTTATGGAAGAAAACCTTTCAAACAGCCGTAGTCCGTAAACTTCACATGTGTCGGGCTGTGATTGGCTGTGATTTCTACAAAATTGATTCATAAAGAACGGAACGTATCTACCGTTTTATAGGGGGATCGACTGTATATACGTAACAAGACCAACGCTCTACTAACAGTGGCGCCGACCAGCGGCAAATATTGTCTCTAGCTAAGTTTGAACTATTAGTCGAAAGACCAGTTAATCTACCGACTCTAGTCTTTATACGAATACGATCGCAATTTCTTCGCAGTTTTATACGAATCCGTATTATATAAACCCATTTTATACGGGTTTTACTGTATATAAACATAACTTTAATTATTGTTATTATCATTTTATTATTTTACAATAATTTTATATCAGTTGTTGATTGATTTGCAAATGTATTTTTCAAATGCTAACATCAGAAACAATTACAACAAGAGTTTGATAGTATTATTTTAATTCGATTTTAAATTAGTTTATTAGTTTATTAATACTAAATCATTACAGGTCGTAGAAAGTCAGTAAATTAATGATTTGAAGAAATGATTTATTTTGTGTGGTAATTAAATATATCTTAAACTAATGATAAATTACTATTTTCATACTTTTATTTTGTACAAACAAAACTTACAAAAGTTAATGTAGATATACTTTATGAAGTTCCTATAAATATATTTAAAAATGCGTATCGAATTATAAATAATAATAATAATTTTACAAATAATAAGAGAAAATATTATATTAGATGTCGTTGAAAAATAACTTATATTTATTATTTTTTTGTTCCATTGTATTGTGAAATACACAAGGAAAGTTTTATTACGATTTTTCTAGTCTTTAAAATTTTTTTAAATGCGAAAAATTTCGCTATAAACACATATAGTTAGAAACCTTATTAAAATTTACAATTCGTATTTAATTTATTATTAAATGTAAATAAAAAATCATACTAAGCTTACTCTTTTTCTATAGAACTATGAAATTTACGTATTTGTTTGTAGTAAGAAGACGTTTAAAAAGTTTCAAAATTTTACGACTATTTCAAAGTGTTTTTTAAATATAATGTGAACTCAATTTATCTACACTGATAGATAAATGCTGTTAAAATAATAAAGTATTTTTCTTCAAGATAAGTGACAATATGTATAGGAACATTTACAAAAGCAGCTGGTCAATACAACTGCTACAGTATAAA